AACAGTTTCCTCCTCTTGATCACAGAGGGGGCATTGTGCCGGATGTGGCAGCCCCCGCCTTGCAAGCCGATCAGTCGTCCAACACCTGTCATGTGCGACCAGCCACATGAAGAAACGACACTTGGGTGGAGCCCAAGATTTCCAGATTCTCTCATATGGGCCAAAAAGAGTGGATCCTATGAAAAAACCCTCATATGTTGACTTGGCCGAATACTGACCACTAGAAGAAAGATGCCGAATGTGAACGTCTTCAACCTCCGGCTGTAGCTGAAAATCATAAAGGAGATCCTAGAGATTGAGGAACTCCACCGTTACTTCCACTGTCATGATACCTCGGATATCCAGAACCCAAGCACGATCAGTAAGAGCTTCTTCAGCTGCGTATGCGTTTATTTACTATCCTTTTTGGTATTCCAGCAAGAAGATGAGGGGCTAGGTCTGCAATTGATTGTCCATTCAGCCATTTATCAGCCCGAGAAAAAAGTGTTTGCCCCATTGCCAACCGGAGACAACCGCAAATCAAGAAGGCTTGGACTGTCTAGGCACTGGATAGGAAAGTTCGCCCAAGGACTATGGGGTTCCGTTTTTAAGCCAAACCAGTACCAGCATCTGCGGCGCCCATCCAAGATATTTCAGGTCCGAGATCCCCAAACCACCAAGCACCGGTGGACGGGTGGCCTTGCCCCATGCCACAAGACAATGACCCCCTTTTACTTCCTTTCTTTCCCTCCATAGGAAACCCCGTCTAAGTTTGTCCATAGCTTTAATGGCCCAGGGAGGGAAGTCTATGGCCATAACAAGGTACACTAGCATAGTAGTGAGCACAAACTGTACCATACTTTTCTTCTAGCCCTAGTCATGCGATGCGCCTTCCAACTTTGCAAATTGATCTGCAATCTTATCAATAATAGGCTGGATCTGCCTTTAGTGAGCTTCTTAAGGGAGAGGGGTAAACCTAAATATTTGCAAGGGAATTCGGACACCGCACACAAGGCAACAGTTACGGATGGTGGTCAACTCCATGTCACCACACCGATAGATAAAACACTGCTCTTTTGAAGGTTGGTTTTAAGCCCGAAGCATAACCAAAAGATTGAGAATTTCCATTACCAGATTGATGTCACCACGACTTCCGGCTGAGGAACAACACCACATCATCGGCGTAGAGAGATCTGTCTTTGCGCAAAACCCGCTTTGGAGAGGTGTTGCGAGTCCCTCATTGGCTGCCTTTGAAACCATGTGTCCTAGAACGTCCATAACCAAGATGAACAACATAGGTGGTAGGGGGTCACCACAGACGCAAGCCCATTGGTGAACAATAGAGTTGCACGGAATCCCATTCAAAGGAACACAGAGTAGAAGAAGATGCTAACAGCCCACTGACCAAGTCTCTCCAAATTTGCCCAAAACCCAAATATTGCATCACCTCAAGGAGAAAAGGCCACGACACCGAGTCAAAGGCCTTAGAAATGTCTAATTTGAGTAGAATTCATGGCTGTTTTTGCTGGTGAAGGAGCCTTGCTGTTTGCTGGACCAACATAAAGTTATCTTGGATAAAATGACCTTTAATGAAAGCGCTTTGGTTGGGAGACACCAATTGTTGCAGCCGGCTTGCCAGACGATTGGCCAGCGGCTTAGTGACTAGTTTAGCAAAGCTATGAAATAGGCTAATAGGCTGGAAATCCTTTGGCCGTTATGCTGAGTCCACCTTAGGGAGTAGGGTGATGAAGGCTGTGTTGAGGACCCCGAAGTTGACAAACTTTCTGCTCCAAATTGCTGAAATTGCAACCATTATATCATCTTTTATGATTGACCAGCAGGACCTGTAGAACCTACCCGTGAAACCATCAGGCCCGGGCGCTTTATCCGGGGGTAGCTGCTCTATGGTTCTCCATACTTCTTCAGTGAAAAGGAGGTCAAGTTTAGTAAGGTCGTGAGTATTCAGCCCCAATTCAGTGAGGTCCACTGTATTTTCCCTATCCACATGTGTACCTAGCAAACTGTTATAAAAATCATCAATAATGGAAGCTTTGTCGGCATGATTTGTGTATATTTGATCATCAGAATCTAGCTTCCCAATGAAGTTTTTCCTCTTCCGATGACGGGCATGCTGCTGAAAAAGTTTTGTATTGGCGTCACCATCCTTTAGCCAATTGATCCTTGAACGCAGACGGGTGATGGTGCGTTTAAGGGAAGCCAACATGAGGCAATGCTTCTTCAGATTATTCTTCAACCATATTTCTCCTGCAGCGAGCACACGAGCATCTTGTGCAATCTCAAGCTGGTGGAGAATTTCCCTGGCGAGGACAAGTTGGGAATTTATATGCCCGATTTTCTTGTCACTCCAACTTTGCAACCCTTTAGAGACTTAAATTTGTGGTCCAGAGAAATGAATGGGCATGGCCCAGCTGGAACAGAATTCCATGCTACTAAAACTGCCTCCTGGAACCCCTCAAGCTTCGGCCAAAAGGCTTCAAAATAAAATCTTTGGCGACCAACCATGTTGTCCCGTAGACCAAGCAAGAGAGGGTAGTGATCTGAGTCATTGGAAGCCATACTCTGCAATAAACAATTAGGGAATTTTTCCTCCCAATCTACTGAACAAAGGACCCTATCCAGCCCGACTAGAGTAGGGGAGAGCTGTTGGTTTGACCACGTAAATTTGCGACCATGTAGAGGGATTTCCTTAAGAGCAAGATCATTTATAAAGCGTCTGAAACGACCCATCGAGGCCCTGTTATAATTGGCGTTGTTTTTGTCCTCATCCTTATATATCATATTGAAATCCCCAGCTACAACCCATGGCCCTGGGCAGTCAGCTCTGATATTACGAAGTCCCTGAAGAAATTGTATCTTCTCCTCATTTCCTTATGGTCCATAAACGCAAGTAAGCCACCAAGGTTGCCCTCATTAAAGAGAATTGTATGGTCACGCTTGTGATTATCGACACGTTGAGCTCCGAAAACTCCAATATGCCGTCCGCCAAGTTACCAAAATACCTCCACTAGCACCAGCCCGAAGGGACCTCAATGAACTCGTAGAGAAATCGAGCCAAATGCTAATAGAAGCGTCCTTCTTGTTACTTCCACCATTTTAGTCTCTGAATGCGAGACAATGTCCGGACGAGCTGAATCGACAATGGTACGAACCGAGTCTTGCTGGCTGAAGAATTAAGGCCCCTCACGTTCCGATAAAAATTTTTAGTTGGATCCATTAATGACAAACAAAAATACGACCACAAATATCTAGAGACCTTCTCTCACTAATCAGCTAGAAGCTCAAACCCCTCATTACGGGGCCAAAATCATCGGGAAGAGACTAGTTGAATAAAGCGGTCAAAAGGCACGAATATGTGAATCGAAAAGGGCCTTACCGAACAGCCTTATGTGAGTCGTCTAGAGCCTGTTGATCAATGCCTTCCACTCGGTAAGAATATCCACAACTTGTATTGCCTTCTTCTTGATCTTCTCTCCAAGTCTTGAGGGCCAAATTCCACTGTTTCCCGAAGAAAATTTGCCCGGCTCTGCCGCAAGCTTCCCAGTGACGTGACCTGCCCTTCCTCTTATTAGTTCGGGAGACAGGAAGCAGATCGACAGCACGCCGGGCCAGCTTATTGATGAAGTCTGCCTAGGCAGAAAGCATGGGGGCAGCCCCAACTGCTGCCGGTGTCACCAGCAAGCCCACCACGCCGTCCATGCTCGTGGCTAGAGGAAGAGCAGAGGGGCTCCCAGCCGCTGACGGAGCCACTGACGGGACTACCACGCCGGCAGCCGAGGGGGGAACTTCCTGCCCCAAAGGAGGTGACAAGGGCCGATTCTCCTCAGCATCCAGGCCATCCATCGGCGGGGGCATCATCTGCAATCCCGCCAATAGGGGAGAAGCAGCGCCCACTAGCTTCGAGCACTTGTGCAGGCGCCGACGGAAACGTCGACGTGAGTACACTTGGAGAGGTCTTGCAGATGTGCCTTGCCGTGGAGGTGGGGTTACCAGAAGATGGAACTCCGGGATAGCAGAGGAGGGGGGGGGGGGGCGATTGCACAGGCGAGCTAGGCAAGGTCGGAGGAGGAACTCCATCTGTTTTCGCACCGACAGGCAGGTTCCCAAAAGAGACCAACACCGTCGACCGGTCGGGGGAGTTCCAGGCCGCAGCCTCACCCAAGCCCACACCACTTGTATCGGAATTAGAGGTTACTTGAAGATCCCGGTCCAACCCACATGAAATAGGTAAATGGTGGCAAGAGGCTGAAGCTGTCACCACAGGCCCAAGATCAACCGGATGCCCAGTGATGGGCTTGGGGGATGGAAGAGACCCAGGAACCTTGTTCACATGATTCCATAAACAGCCGCCGGCTCCAACATCAACTTCAAAGCACATTAGTGTAGGGGAGGCCGCCGAGGGAAACATCTCATCGGATCGAGGCCTCACAATAACAACAGCCGCCGTCTCCTCGGTTCCTTGCGCCACATTAATGGAAGCAGAAAGAGGCCTCTCAGCAACAGTCGGGCACACCTCATTAACAACAGCCGCCGTTTCCATGGTTCCTTGCGCCACATCAATGGAAGCAGACACAGATTGTTGATGGGGAGGCAGCGCCCGGCAGCGGGTCAGACGCCGGAGCAGGGTCAGGAAAACCAAGCTCAGAACGTCGACGGTTGCATGGACGTTGACGCTGGCGTGACCTTCCCGCCTGTGCTCCTTGGTCTTGGGCTGCATCTCCAGAGGGCTTCACGTTGTATCAGCACCACCAACCACATCCACCGGAGAAGGCCGTTTGTGGGGGCGCAGTGCTAGCAGCTTTGCGACCGGAGTCAATTCGTTGGCACACGGAACCCCTCGCCGTACCAGCGCCACGAGCCACACCTGCCGGAGAAGACCCTTGCCGGGGGGCAGCGCGAGTAGCATCACAGCCCTGGCAGATCCGCCGCCACATAGAACAACGCCCAGTGGCGTAAGAAGATGCGTTCCCGCCACTGGCCACCCTAGGACGCACGTAGGAGCGATGGCCCTGGGACCGACAGCGGAATCAACGAGTTTTCTCATGACAGTAGGCTGCGGTGTGAGAGGGCGAAAGACAATTGAAGCATTTGCCGGTGAGGTCGGCAGGCACTGAGCAGTGTGGGGGACGAGCCGCACGCAGACGCCGCCGCCGAGCACCATGGGATTCAGCCTTCTGCCAACCACCTGGATCGGGGTGAGCCGCGCCAGTCGAGGAAGCAAGGAAGCAGTGCCGCACCGACCAGGACGAGACCGGCGAAAGAGCGTGATCCTGGGGGCACACCTGGGAGCCGCCGGCGGGGGAGCAGGGCTAGCCGCAGCAGGGGCCGCCGAGGATGACGCGCCCGCCGCCACCTCCACAGGCCCGCCACCGCCCGCCGTCGAGGGCACATAAGGGGCCACGCTTGAGGACGAGAGGACGATGTCGCGGTAGGATGGCGGCGAGTCACCCGAGCAGGAGGAGGCCGGGCTATCGGCGGTCCAGCGCTTGAGCTTGGTGCGACCACACGACACAAAAGGTGCCTCCGAGGGAGACAAGGAGGAGGTGGAAGCCGACGTCTTCGAGGAGGGGGGAGGCGCAGGCGCCGAAGGGGTGGCCGCCGGGTTCGGGGTGAGCACCGGCGTGGGGCTGGGGGAGGGGGGCAAGACGTCGGGAGAGGGAGAGGGAGAGGGAGAGGGAGAGGGGGAGACGGGAGCCATCGCTGAAATGAAGAGTCTTTCCCTGATAAACTGCATTACAGTGAAGAAACAGCTGTTAAGCTTGCATCCTGAAATGCTGCTGTTCCTATCAAAAATCATCCAGGCTGTTAGGGCTCGTTTGGTACGGCTCCGAGGAGATTCGGCTTCTACACTGTGTATGACTGTAGCGTGCCAGAACCGGAGCCGGCAAACAGCTCCGGGCTACAGTGTTTCTACAGTGTTCCATGTCAGGGTGTCAGCCGGAGCCGGAGCTGCGTGGAGCCATACCAAACGGCCCAATTTCCAGGCAGCTCCGGCTCCGGCTGAAGAGAGTGGAAAAGGAGAAGAAGAATGTGGTTATTATATGTGGAGGCAGAAATTCCCAGTCAAGCCAGAGAATAGGGTTGATAAATGTGCTGAAATCGATGAATGGGTGATAAGCCTGGCCTTTTCACATGGTCAGTGTCTGTCCCGTGGGAAGCAACTATCACCTGGAGTCTATGCTTTCCTCCCTACTGAAATGGTAGCAAATTTCCCCTTCATCATCCAGGCTGACTTCCTCCTTGCATCATCAAGGGAGGCAATACTGTTCGACAGTCCATGGAACAAGGGAATTCTCGAGTGTGTTCCAAGTGCTTTCATGAATGCTCTTGTAACACTTGTGAAGTCCAGAGCTGCACCTGAAATGTGTCTGCCATCAATGTTCAATTTCCTACCTGTCAATTCTTCATTGATTCCACTGCTTGAGCCAGTTAGGTCTGGCATAAAAAACAAGGTTCTCGCCGAGGATATAGTTCCATGTGAATCTTATGCTTCACAGAAGATATTCTGCAAGCCCAGTGAAGTTGCACGGCTTAAGCCAGCCTTTTGGACTATCCTTGGCAAAGCATGGGAATCTGGTGCAGATTTGAAGAGTCTGTCAACTCATGGAACCTACATTCTTAGTTCCCATTTTGACAATAGTAGATACAACAGTGTGCTTGAGTTTCTTGGTATCAAAAGCATGAGCACTGAATGGTACGCAAAATGCATTGAAGGGTCTAATCTTGTCAAGGAGGTACATGAGCAGCTTTACCTGGAAATCTTATATTTTGTCGCGAGTAATTGGCAAAACTGTTTTTTGTCGTACAAACGTGATGTCTGTTCCTCTACTGAAATATGTTGATCGGAATGGTGTTCTCTCTTTCTGGAGCATATCCAGAGCTAGTCAACGGGATGATAGGTTATGCACTGCATCTAATATGAACTGTACATCATGGCTAATCAGCTGGAGCAGGGAGTTTCCATCTTCTAATCGGTTCTTTCTCCATCCCAGCACACAGGCTGCTCTGGATAGTTTCTCAGAGAAGATGACAGTGGAAAGCTGGCTTCGGAACCATGCAAGAATGGAGGTTATCTCTGTCTACAGTTATGGATTGACTGTTGCTGCTTCCTGGAGTATTGATCGAAGGCCTGTCATTGCTTTTGCACACTTTCTGTACCACTCATTTAAGATGAATTATATAGAGAAGTACTGGTTATCAGAACTCTGCCATGTCATGCCAGTAATTGACAGCGGTGGCCATGTTGTCAAGGAAAGAAAAAGCATAATAGTTCCAACCAATGGGAGCAAATGGGTTGGTTTGTTGGGTGCAAACCCATGGAGGGACAAAGGCTACATTGAATTGTCAGCAGATTACAAGTCAGTAGGCCATTTTGCTGGGAACTACACATCTAAGGATCAGCTGTTGGAATTTCTCAAGATGCATCTGCATGCCTCAGATGTGCCATTCATACACCCACCAAATGCGAGGTTCCATACTGTCTCATTGCCTCTCACAGTTGACAATGCATTCTTGCTACTGGAATGGATACGGAATATCAAGTCAAATGGTGTAATTTTACCAGATCGATTCCTGGCTTGTGTAAAAGAAGGGAGTTGGCTAAAGACATCCGTTGGGTACAAGCCACCAAATGAATCATTTCTGTCCAGTGCTAACTGGGGAAGTCTTTTGCAAAGTGGAACTTCATTCATCGATATACCAATGATTGATCAACAATTCTATTGAAACAAGCTGCATGTGTACAAACAGGAACTCAAGGCAATTGGGGTGAGATTTGAATTTCAGGAGGCATCATCTTACATTGGAAGCCATCTCATGTCTATGGCTGCAAGCAACGTGTTAACCAGAGACTGTGTGTACTCCTTGCTTCGGCTCATTCGGTTCCTACGAGAGAAGGTTCTATCTCCAAGTCAATTGATTGACAGTGTCAAAGGTGGAGGTTGGATGAAGAGTACTCTTGGCTATAGGTGTCCTTCTGATTGTATCATCAAAGATTCAGAATGGGCAGTAGCATCTTGTATCAGTGACCAACCATTCCTTGATGTTGAGTTCTATGGTAGGGGCATCCTTCCATATAAACCAGAGCTGGAGTTGCTTGGTGTTATTGTTGGGTTCAAAAACAATTACCATCTTGTTATTGATAACTTCAAGTTCAGATCCTCTGCTATTACTTCTGAGTCTACTGTATTCATCCTCAAATGCATCCGTTATGTTGGTTCATGTCAAGATTTCATGAGGAAGCTCAGAGATTTGAAACGGGTGAAGACTAATGTGGGCTTTTGTGCTCCAAATGTCTCTTTTCTTGTGGATTCTGAATGAGAGTGCCTTGTGAAGATCTTCAAAGGAGTTCCAATAATTGATTTAGGATTTTATGGGAGTGTGATCAGTTCATACAAAGAAGAGTTGAAGAAGGCCGGTTTGATCACACGATTTGAGGAGGCATCGAAGGCTATAGCCAATGTTTTCAAGCGCATGGTATCTGAGTCATCACTTACGAAGGCTAATGTCTTAGCTCTACTACTAGCTTATCGGCAGCTGAGAACACACAGCCCACTTCCTGTTGAGCTTTTCAACTGCATGCGCACAGAGAAGTGGATACACACATCACTAGGGTTCCAATCTTCCTCAAATACAATCCTATTTGATAATGCATGGCAATATGTATCTCCCATAGCAATATTACCGTTCATTGATGATGGTGACACTTGTCATGGTTTGGGGAAGGATATATACGGTTATAAAGATGAGCTTAGGGAGTTGGGTGTTACTGTTGAAGTGAAATTTGGTGCCAGATTTGTCCTTGCTGGCCTCAGCATTCCTGATGATCCTTCCATTATGTCCAAAGCTACCATTTTGTCGTTTCTGGAGTGTATGAAGAACTACTTTGACTCTGCAACTGAACCTCCAAAGGGCTTTAAAGACTAAGATTTCCAAGAAGTGGTTGAAGACATCCTTGGGCTACCAATGTCCTGATGAATGTATTCTCTTTGATGCAAAACAATGTTTTCTACACATGGAAGATGGCCCTTTCATCGATGATGCATTCTATGGTTCAGAGATAGCTTCATTCAAACATCCCCTTGCGATGATTGGAGTGACTGTGGATGTTAATTGTGCACAAGATCTTATTGCCCAGTATCTGAGGAACAAAACAGATACAGATACTATTTCCCGGATCTACAGCTATCTGAAGAAATGTGACTGGAAGCCTGACAACAACAACAGAAATTGGATTTTGATACCAAATGAAACAGAGGGTGGAGACTGGGTGCGCTCAAGAAGTTGTGTTCTGTATGATAAGAACAATCTATTTGGCCTGCAGCTGCATGTTCTGGACAAATATTATGACAGAAAGCTGATTGAATTCTTTTCACTTGCTTTCAGTGTGAGGCATGGACCTTGTTCTGAAGACTACTGCAAACTATGGGCCACATGGGAGAGTTCAGTCCACGAGCTAGCCATATCTGATTGCTTCGCTTTCTGGAAATTCATTGCAACGAACTGGACCAAGAAAACAGAGGAAATTCTTTCTGGTTGTGTCAAGGTTCCAGTATGTACTGATGGCAAGATTATTTTATCAAACAAGGAGAATGTGTTCATTCCTGATGATCTACTGCTGGCAGATTTGTTCAGCAAGCATCCTCAGCAATCGCTATTCATCTGGTATCCTTCTTCTGCTCTACCTTCCATGTCTCGAGCAAGGTTCAACCGCATATATGGTAGTATCGGTGTCAAGACGATCTCAAAAGCAGTCACCAAGAATGATTCCTTCACTTCAGCTAATAGCCATTTCAAAACAGTGGTTCTGAGTAAGGTGATCAAGGTTGGGTTGCTCCAAATAGTCATCGCATTCCTTTCGAATCCTGCTTTTGACATTCCTGCCGAAGATAGGCACAAGATGGTTTCTTGCCTCCTGAATGTGACTATCAAAGAGACCGATGAACCGATCACAATGGCATACAGTGTGAGTTTGTCCTCTGGAGAGGTGGTGGAGGTGAAGGCCAGACGAATGCTTAGGTGGGAAAGGGAGAATTCAAAGCTGTACATGCAGAGAACTGATGGCGTATCCAGCTACGAAGAGAAGATTGAATTTGCGACCTACTTTGCACATGAGATATCTCATGGGTTGCTGTTTCAGATGCCAGATCAGATATCTTCGCTCGCTGAACTCATAAAAATTGGCAGCTTACTGGACTTCGAGCCTGCCGCTGTTGCGTTCTTGCTGAAGTTCAAAAACCTGCAGCTGTTCCCAGAAGATGAAGATTTCCTGTTTCGTTCAAAAAAGATGAAGATTTCCTGAACTCATCACCGCTAGGTACACGTCATGAAATCTACATTAGCATCTGTGCTCCTGATTTTTCTCACAAGTACATCATTACATAATCTACCGATGGTCTGAGGCTAATTTCAATGCACAGGTGGCAGCAAAAAATCAGTGAACAACTAGCGGCCTGCAAATTTTACTCTATTGTACTTGTTCAAGGTTAGTAAATTACTGTCTTCTGGTTCAAAAAAAGTAAATTACTGTCTTCAATACTTTACTTGCCATTTGCATCCATGTACTGTTTCGGGGCTGCACCAGTTTTTCTTGATGCAACGAAGTCTTATGTAAGTTATCTTTGTGTGCAGATTGCTGCCTGCAATTCCTAGAAAAGATTTGGTGTTGCGCTTGCGCCTGGAGGCTCCTGAATATCACCAACGTTGGTGTCTTCTATGATGCATTTGTATCACCGTCAGTCTGCTATCTCCCTATTACAGTTATGGATTCAGTGCCTCCTGCTTATGGATGAAAACGGATCGGATACGAACGGATATCACTGATATTACATTTGTTTTCATATTTCTGTCCGAATTCGGATTCGAATACGGATATTGTCAACTTTGCCGGATAGGATACGATTGGATATCGACGTCATAAATATGCGATTTGATTATTCGGATACGGATACGGTATCGGATGTTGAATATCCGGACTCAGATACGGACAGATCTGAACTCCACTAAACAGATTCGGTCTCAAATACGGTCGAAAAATATCTGTACCACTCCTGGTACAAAACGTGTCAGTTGTTTCGGTAGTGTTAAATGACACCAAGTACTTGAATGAAGTGTTACTATTAATATTGTCAATGCCTTGTGTGTGCTCTGTTGATTTATGGTCCCGCTACATGAGTTGTGTTTGTTTGAGATTTGTGGCTGTGACAGTGATCTGTTAATTGCACGGGTTTTGCTTGTACTGGAGGCCAAATAGAGTAGTTTCCGTCGGTGTATACGCTAGGCGTATCAGTCGCAGTCTTGCGATGAAAGTTGTCACGTTTTTGTATCATACTGCTTGTTCTTTCACCTCTCCTGAAGTGCACTACTAGATGTCAAACAAGTTTATTTGCCACTGCTCTAGAAGCATTGGTCATCCTAAATTGAATGCTCCACTATTGCAACACATCGTGATTTTTTTTTCTCGATTTTTGTTTTTTTAGTAACGGAAACAAGTTCCGGCTTCATCATTCATCAGTATTTTGTGTCTGCCATCCGAAGGGCCTGTCTAGGTGACTAAAGTTTAGCCATCCTATTTTAGCCTCTTTTAGTCCCTAAGTATTAAACATGCTGACTAAAAGGCGACTAAAATCATTTAGTCTTTTAGTCCCTTACGGATGAATATAGGGGACTAAAAGCCCAAAAGAACAGCCCCTACACCACAAACATGACAGCCCAAAAGATTATGTGCATTTAATAGGGGCGTTTTGGTCTTTATTCATTAGCTTTAATAGCAATTAGTCCATAAAACCAAACAAGCTATAACTAAAGTTTAGTCCCTAGAATTAGTTGATTATCTGTTCATGTCCTTGTCTACACTCAAATGCCTTGAACAGAAAGCAAATGTTATATGAAGTAAAATAGACAGCAGCGACGGAGCCTTGAAGCGCAAATTCGTAATGTGTGAGCTAACGGGCCAAAGCCGTATGCTTTAACATTGTGCAAATTAAAATCTTACGTCACAATATCAAAGTGACAAATTGCTAAAACTGGTTCAGTGTGCATCAACTGCACTAGAGTAAAATACACCGATGATCCTTACATTTGTTCGAAATGCAAGCCTAATAAGGACCTGTTTGGATGAGTTAGAGCAACTCCAGCAGGCTAACTATCCTCAATTTGGATAGTGGAGGAAAAAAAACACTCCAGCAGGCTACCTATCCGGTACCCAAATTTGTTGGCCTAGTAAATTTTTCCTCTCCACTACGTACTTTTGTTGGACCAACAAATCAGACTATCTATTTTCCTCCCCTCTCTTTCCTGCCCACGTGACTCTTTCTTCACCCGAGCACTCCAAGGAAACTCACGGTGCGCGGCCATCCCCGGCACAGGCGCGGCGCAGCCATCACCGGCATAGGCAAGCTCGATCCGTCGCGGCCATCCCCGGTACAGGCGCGGCGCAGGCATGACGGTCGTCCCAGATCTAGGAGAGACGAGGTCGAGCCGCGCTTCCACGGCCGCATGCCACCTCCAGCAGACTCCCCTCTCCGGCGCGACCTCCGGCGGTCTCCTGTCGCCGGCGTCCCTCCCCATACCGACCCTTGTCTAGCAACTCCCCCACCGGCGGCAAGCAATTGATGGCCGAGTTTGTAGATGGTGACATGGAGGAGGATGACACGTGCCACGTGTCATGGATTGATAGAATGAACTTGGGAGCCATGTTTTAGGTGGTATCGCTGGAGTTGGGAGCAAAATATGGGTAGGATGAAAATAGACGGCTACCCAAAGAGACAAATAGATAGTATCTTTTAGGTAGTACTGCTGGAGTTGCTCTTAGGGCTAGTTAGGAGATGAGCTAAAAATTAGCTCAAATTAATTGATGTTGGCTAGGAAGTAGCTAAAAAATTAGCCAACATATTAACCATCTTGTTTGGATGGGTTGGTACTAATTTAGTCATTTTAGCTAGCTAGCAATTAGCTATTGTATCAAACATACTATATGACAAATTGTTAGCCGTGAATACGGGCATAACTATAGATGGTCTAGGGTATCCATTAACTTTTTCTCTGTTTTCCTCACACGATCTCTTCTGCACCTCCCTTCTCCTCTTCTTCTCTTCAGTAGTTTTTGTTGAATCAATAGTTTGTTTCCGGTCAAACATTTTCTTTAAATATAAAGGATCGAGAAAGACGACCAAAGGACGGTAAATGGGAGCCAATAAAAATTTCTTCTAAAATGGCCGTTGACCCAATCATCCCTACAAAACACCAAATCTCACAAACGTGGTGTTCTCGAGCTAACTAGTGGCTGGATGTTCTCGGTGATGACCGAAGAACACAATGGGACACTCACAACAGCGAAAAACCAAGCGCTGCACTGAAACTCCCCAAAACTTGAAAACAGATCTCTCAACTTCAGTCACAACGAAGCAGGAGTCCGACTCGAAATCCTCTAAGTCAACTGGTGACTTGAGGACTGAGAAAAGTTCTTGGATATTACTAGAACACTACAGAACAAGCGAAACTCAAAACAGACACCGAGAGCAACGATACACAACGAAACGGGCAACAACTTAGTAGAAGTCGGCCTGGCCGCCCTGAGCTCCCCCTGGCAGCACTGAACTCGACCTGGCCAAGTGGTGTAGCCGGCCTAGGCCGGGATGGAGGCCGGCCTAGGCACCTTACCCTGTGCAGCAGCACCATAAAACTATTTCCCAAAAGACAAAATCACCTCAAATCAAGTCCAAATGAGATGAAATTTGACACGGAGGTAGGAGATGTCATGAAGAAATACCAGAATATCAAAGCCAAAAAGACCAAGGGAACTCTATAGATCGAGAAATCTTCGGATCGGACCGGGGTTTCTAAACTTTTCTCAAAATCCCTCAAACTTGTGCTCGTGAGGAATCTAGTCAAATCGACTCGCATATATGTTTCTCATGTGTCATAGCACATATCAAACCATGCCAATCAGTCCCAATCTCCTCAAAAAACGAAATCACCCAAAAGACAAGAGAAGGGAGTCCGGGCGAGGAAAAACCGATTCAAAACAAAAGCACAATGCAAGAACTCGGATCTACCATGAATGTTTGCTCTATTTCTTCACCAACAAGATTTGGTTCTTACATAGGAATAATTAACATAGACAGTATCAATCTCCTGCATTGTGGATCTCAACAGCAATAAACTAGGAAACTAGAGACTGGGAAAACCTAGAGAGTGACAACTAGAGAGATGTGTTGGTTAGGAGCAGTCATCCTCTTATTTATAGAGCTATTACACAATCTGAAACCTGCCCTTAGATATTTTGGCTGAACCACTTAACCCTAGGAGTAAAATGGTCCAACTTGAGATCCAAGCATCCGATGGCCACATGCTCTTTACGATTTTGCTTCGCCTTGATGTTAGCTTCACGGTGACGCCAACTCCAACCGGGTTTTGAGGCCTAAACCCGAGAAACCGTCTACTAGTGGTTTTGAGGCCCAAACCACCAAACCGCTTGGAGAAGCGTATCCGCTATGCCTCCTCCACGATCTCGACACGTGTCACCATCGTCCTCGACAGCCTGATCACCAAGTCCTCTTGCACCTTTGCTTGACTTGGTCAACTACCATCTTGACTTGGTCAACACAGTCTCCTCCTCCTCATGTATTCTTGCTTACTGATGTCCCCATGTATCAGCCACCCACGGTCAATCTTTCGGCCATCTTGGTCCCTCAGTCCAAGCCTCACGTCCGTCCTTCACCGCTCATGGTCCATTAGCACGTTACATCTCTACTTGACCTTCTCTATGTCCGCCAACCGTATCTGTGCTCCACACCTGCACACCAACACAACCAAGAGACATGTTGCACACGCACATAATTGTTTGTCTCCAAACTCAACCAAAACCGATCATCTCCTAACAATCACTCATGACAAGTTGACACAAGAAGAGCACATATTAACATTGTGTTCGCAATATAAAATGAATAGATATGGCATTTACTTTTTGTTGGCGGTCATTAACGATCATATCCGACCGCCAATTAAAGCCCAAAACGAGAGAAATGAACAAACTCTTGACACATATGCATATACTTTTGACATAGTTCCACTTGTATTGGAAGAAATATGTTTTGCAGGACACACATTTGAATACAAGTGGAAAACAAAGCAAAAGGCGCAAAGCAGAAAATGTAATGCAGAAATGCGCAAAGGAAATACATGCAAAAGCCCATCCAATCATCAAATCTGAGCCGAGCACCGACGTGGACATGACCCAGGCCCACCCAGGAACCGACCATGCGAAGGCGGTCGCGAGGCAGCCCCACCAGGGGTGCGGCC